TCACAGAGGGTGGTCGCCGTTGAAGACACAACCATTGCGGTGCTTCCATAGCCACCATGCCGTGAGGATGGCGATGGAGGCGAGCCCGCGACAAAGGCTGCGAGGAGTGGCAGCAAGGGCCGAGGTCAACCAGGCGATGAACTCCTCGTCTTGACCAGGGATGGAGGCGGTGGAGCGACACCAGGAGAGCACCTCATGCCATATCTGGCGGGAGAAGGAGCAACCCGTGAGAAGGTGATGCATCATTTCTGGTTCCTGATCGCAGAGACGACAAGTGGGCTCGTGGGGTAGGTCATGACGCGCGAGGCGGTCGGCTGTCCAGCATCGCCCGAGCAGGGCCAGCCAGATGAAGAATTTGATGCGTAGCGGCGCCCACGATTGCCAAGTGATGCGCCAGTGGGGGTCCTCGATGGATCCAGAGAACATGGCTTGGTAGCAAGTCCACGCGTTGTAGGAGTCGGAGCTAGACCATCGCCAGGATAGCGTGTCCGGTGTGTCGGAGAGAGTGACCTGCCGTAGGCGCCGCCAGAGGGAGACGTACTGGAGCGTCATCTCAATGCCCAGGGCGCCCTGGATGTCCGTGACCCAAGCACGGTTGTGGAGGCCGTCACACACGGAGAGTGTCTTGCGTCGTCGTTTGGGAACCTTGGCATAGACGAGTGGCGCGATCTCGACGATGGACTGACCATCAATCTAGTGGTCCTCCCAGAATTTGCAGGTCCGCCCATCATCGATGGTCCAGGAGGTCGATGCCCTGAAGATGGCTTGGACGTCGGGGCAATGCGGGAGATGCAGGTGCTGCCAGGGTCGCGAGGTGTCGGTCTTCTGCAGCTAGAGCCATCGGGTGCGGAGAGAGGTGCCTAGTCGTCGGAGGTCGGGGATACCTAGGCCGCCCAGGGAGATTGGTCGGCAGACCCGACGCCAACTGAGGAGGCAGTGGCCGCTACTCGCGTCCTTGCGACCGTACCAGAGGAAGTTGCGGAGTAGGCGATTAACCTGCTTGAGGGCGGAGCTGTTGAGGGCCAGCACGAGCAGTGTGTGCACGGGCATCACAGAGAGCACGTGTCTGCATAGGGCTAGCCGGTCACCACGCGACATTAGGGACACCCACCATGGCGATAGTCTGCGCTCGAGCTTGTCTAGGAGTGGTTGTAGGGCATTGGTGCTGGTCTTGCGGATGGACAGAGGCAATCCAAGGTATGTCGCCGGGAACTCTTTTAACGGGCAGGCAAAGCCGGAGGTGATCGCGGCGCGGTCGACTGGTGGGCATCGAATGGGCGAGGCTGCACACTTGGCGAAGTTGGTATACATCCCCGAGACCGCCCAAAAGATGTCGAGCAGACGACGGATGGCGGACAGGTCCTGAAGGTCCGGTCGGCAGAAAATGACGACGTCCTCAGCATAGAGAGAGATGCTCGAAGCCATGTGTCGCGGGGTGAGCCGCTGGATCACGCCGTCGGCCATAGCACGACAGAGCAGGTTGTTGAGGGTGTCGATGGCCATGACGAAAAGCATGGGGGACAGAGGGTCGCCCTGGCGAAAGCCGCATCGATGAAGGATGGGGGGGGCCTGGGACTCCACTAACAAGGACGCATGTGCTGGCCGTGCCGAGCAGGATGCACACCCATTCGCACCAACTCGGCCAAAGCCGAGGTGGCGGAGTGTGTCGAGGAGGAAGGCCCATGAAACGGAGTCGAACGCGCGGGCAATGTCGAGCTTGAGCATGACACGTGGTTGCTTGAGGTTGTGGAGCTGCCGGGCGGTCTGCTGGACCAGCAAAAAGTTGTCATGGATGCATCAGCCTGTGATGAACACGCTCTGGTTGGTGGAGATCATGCCACTGAGCTTCGGCACAAGTCGGAGAGAGAGAGCATCTTGGCGAATAGGTGGATCAAGCTGATCGGGCGGTAGTCCGAGAGCGCGGCGGCGTCGGGCTTTTTTGGGATAAGAGTGAGCAAGGCCTCATTCAGACGTTGAAACCTGAGGCCGTTGAGGGAGTAGAGCTTGTTGAACGCCTCAACAAAATCGTCCTTGATCGTAGGCCAAGATGCACATAAGAACTCGGACGTGAATCCGTCGGGCCCGGGGGCTCTTCCTTTCGGCATGCACTTGATGGCGTTCCAATTTTCCTTCTCGGAAAACAGGATCTCAAGGTATTGGAGGTCGAAGGAGCGCGGGTCGAGGCTGTCCAAGTCGATGGAGGAAGTTCTTTCGCGGCCAGTACCAAGGATGTCGAAGTAGTGGTTGTACGTAGCCTCGGCGATGGCAGCATGGCCGGAGACGGTGGTGCCGCCCACCTAAAGTTGATGGATCGTGTTTTTCGGGGAGCGGTGTGCGGCGTGAATGCGGAAGAATGCCGGGTTTGTGTCGCCACCTTTGAGGAAGTTGAATCGCGCGTGTTGTCTTGCCAGGGACCGCTCGAGAGAGGCGAGGCCAATGTAGGAGGCCTTGAGCTGCCGCCGTAGCCAGGTCTCGGCAGCTGAGAGTTGTCAGAAGTCTTGTGCCGCGTCGAAGCGGGCAATCAGCTCACGGGCAACAAAAAGTTGTAGCGAGATGTCGCCAATCGTTTTGGCACTCCAACGTTGTAGGTGCTTGGCGGTGGCGCGTAGGCGCGCATAGATGCGGCGGAATGGGTCAGGCTTGTTGGGGGAAACTACCCATGCCTCGGCAATCACTTCGTGGTAGCCCTGTGGGGCCAGAAGCGTTTGATGTGGAAGCGCCTGTGGCCGAGGGAGCGTGGCAAAGCATC